TAAGAGTAGTTTAACTCATGTTTGCCAAGCTATGTGCACCTATTTTCTTGTGAAAATATCACTCTACAGCCTTGGAGCTGCCCTCTTTCCCACGGAGCTGTAGCCAGACTTGGGTTTTGGTGCTTTGCATGGAGGCACTGTTCCCACTGCCTACTAACACAGTAAGAACTAGGAGCTGATGCAGGGGCAGGAAAACAGACTGGGTGGGCACAGGGTATTCTGTAGGCCACAGGTGGTGACCTAGCTGTCATAAATGGGAGTTTGGAAAACACACCTACAACAGAAACATCAATGGACACCAATTTTTGTATTTTTTAAAATCTCATGGCTCTTGGACGCCATGTGTGTTATTTTCCTGCCTCTGGCTATATTTGCTGTGTAATAATAAAAGAATAAGCTCAACCTGTTTCTTGGGACTACTGCACCTTGCATGGTGATTGATGGCATTGGGACTCTAGCCTTTTGCTTCATTATCAACCTAAGGCATGGAATAATCATTCTGAAACCTTATGTCATATCTTATCCCTCAATTAATTTGAGCCTGCCAGAACTTTCATTCTCTGGGTGCAACTTATCATTGCTCAAGTAATGTCAGAATAATGCACATACATAAGCATTCTTGCAATGTTAGAGTGGTTATTCTGGAGTTTGGATGATAAACACTTAATCCGTCAGAAGTGTGAAGCAAATATGACATGACCAACACAGTGTCAAATCATGATGCTGATTGTGAAGGAGACTGACTTAATTCTCTGCAGACACAAACAGCCACAGCAGTGAAAACTGAGTGTCTGACAAGCAGGTTGCAATTTGACCAAGCATCTTTTTACCTCTTTTGTCAAAGCACCAGTTTTGCAGAAATCATCCATTTCAGTGCAGTGTCCATCAGCGAAGGCTTCTGTGGTGATGCGCTCCCCCCACACCTGACCTTTTCCCCTAACCCTGCTCAAGAGATAACCACCTGTAGTGGTCGTGATAGATGTGTCTGGTTGCAATGGATGCATCCACGTCAAAGAGGATTTGGGGGAGACAGAAAACAACAGAATAGTCAAGGGCTAATTTATGGCAATGTGCCCACCTAACCACAGTGCTGGTCAGTGTCCAACTCAAGCCAAATTTGGAAGAAACTTAATATCTGCAGTCAGTATGCAAATATGACTACGAGTCAATCATCTTACCCCCATAAATAGTGAGCAGCCCAGGAGCCCTTTGAGCCCTCCTGTACGGCAGCAGGCTGCACGCCAGGATCTCCCCTTGAGCAGGCATGCCTCTCAAGGTTATTCCTCGAGGCTGAGAGATTCCTCACCACAAAAGATTCCTGGTAAGTGGCTAACAGCATGTTAAACTTTGAAATCTTAGCTAAATGATATAAAAGATTTATTGTGCATATATAATCCTTTAGACATAAACCGTTGACCAAGTCTGGGACTAGGATTGGATCTAGCTGCACCTAGACTCATCTCTGAGGAAGGAGTTTAGAAAGCAAGGGGGTCTTTTCTGAACCTCATGACTCAACATGACGGTGCCCCTGACAGTTTTGTCTGACCCTGTCCTCCATGCAGTAAATAACCGAGTGTACCTTTCCATCGAATCTTGTTAAACCACTGTCACATTTACCATTGAACTTTGTTAACTCACTAGTTTATATCAATAAACTGTATTTTTGCTTCTCTCTCACTCCATCCATGACAGCTTCTCAGGTGCAAGTTGTCTCACCTCAACCAGTGAATGGCACAGACCCAACCTAGAGTATCCAGAAGTCCAGTAATGTGGACAATTGCACTAGATATGACAAACCCAATGCTAACTTTAGGGTTGACCATCTTAACGGCTAACCTACAGATTGTGTCACTCATATGCTTCTTGGCAAACAGTAGGATTCTTCATTTAAATTTAGCGATGTAGGCTCCTGTGTATCTGTAGGCTGAATTAAGTATTCTAGATTGCAGAGGTGATACCCTAAAATGGGTATCTAAAACTCATATGCTCTCTTACTCTTTGGAATTGCCTCTTTCTCCTTACTTTATATAAAGAGAGCTGAGACAAGAAGCTCAAACTAAAAATAAAGCATAACAAAAAGAGAAGCATAAAGGCATATAATTTACTGAAGTTGAACGAGATAAATCTCATCTCCCAATTAATACTATTGTGTCATTAGAAACTTGATCCAGGATGGAGGACTGAGAGTGCTCCATTCTAAAATAGCCAAAAGCCTTGTCCTAAAGAAGGCTTTCTGATGGGTCCTGAGCTGAGGACAAGTGACAAACATCACAAAGAATAAACACACTGGGCAGCACAAATTAACAAGAAGACAATTATTCAAGACACTTGAAGATCTCCATTCTGTCCAAATACAACTGTCTTAGGAAAATCTGACGGCCTGTGAAGCAAGGCGTGTGGAAGTGAACTAATGAAAAATTGATTCCTAGTAATCAAGCTCAACAGATTCACAGATTATCTTGACATACACTGAAAAGTGGTCTGAAAAATCAGGCCAAAAGCACAAAGATCTCTGCAACCACAAACGTTGCTTATTGGTCTGATAAAGACAGATTTATTTTCTTCAGATTCATCTTAGATCTGTTACTATTTCACCCTAGCAGTCCTAGATGTTACAGCAGTCCTTTACCTTGCCAGCACTCTGATACCTGTAGCAGTTAATAAATCGTTGAGTTGCTGAGCACCTATAAAAAAATCTATCCATGTTTTGGATGTCCCAAGAGTCTTGTAATTAATAAAAGACTCCCATTAGAAGTAAAGCATTTAAAATAGAGTACACTTTCTTAAAGAACTGGAAATAACAAATATCCTGCCCTGGTTGCTTCTTTATAAAAACTAGATTTCTCCCTCCACCAAGAATTTTAAAAGAAAAAGAAAAAAATTAACATTTTCTAATTTTCCTGATTGTTCAAAGACACAAGCTACAAATGCACACACATTTTAGGGGTAGCTAAGACTCTGTCAGCTCACAGATAAAATGACTGCAGTAACAGGGTCCGTGGGAGCTATGCTGTCCAACAAAGGCAACACAGCATGTATGTACAGAGCCGCTTTGCTACAATCCCCAAAGTCCTCAATCAGTGTAACTGAACAACAAAACCCTGCTTATGAAACCATGAGAGCCAACACAGGCACCGCTTGTTCTGCTGGCCACACCTACAGGAATTACTTGGGGGGGGGCGAGGAGGGGGAGGAGGGGGACTGTCTTACACCGATGCTCATGTATTTCATTTTGTAACACAGCATATGCCAGTGCCTGTTCCTTGGGTGCTGCCTAGTCATCGTTCACATAACATTTGCCTGGGAGAAGCAAATTATAGGTGTACAATGTGAGGAGAAAAGCAGGTAGACGTTGCCTCTTGATCCAGTTTGAGCTGAAACATATTGCCCTGGAAATCGCTCCTCTGCAATGGTCCATAATGTGGCACATTTCGAATAACTGCAAAGAATGATTTTTCTAATGATTTCTACAGTACACATCAGAGACCAAATCCTGCCTTTACCTCTTTCACTGTGGAAGTATCCTGGCAACAGAGCCAGTGCTGATGTTTTATGTAAGGGTTTCTGGGCTTCATCCTTTTCTGCTTAGCTGTGTAGGAAAGGCACTTAGCGCCAGAGCATTGCCGACAGATGCAATGTTGTGTGGAAGGGATGAGCAAGGCTCGTGCAGCATGTGATGGCAGTGGCCAGGGAGTAATGCTGCCGGCCTTTGGGAAGCTGAGATCAGAGAAGAAGATCCACTCTGACCCCACCGCTCCCTGCCACCCCCCCTGTGCATGGGGATGGATTCCCCCTTACATGTAATGTTAGGCAACAATTACAGAAAAGCATGTGGCAAATACATCCTTGGTGGGAAGATATTCAATTTGATATACTTTCTAATGCATTAGGAGAAAAAAAAAAAAGTATATATAAAATCTGCAGTATGAAAATCCTTTTTACAGTGCTTAGAAGATTAGGTAATGGATTTTTTGTTTCACATTAACCTGTATATTTAGAAAACTTGCAATATTCCGTTTTGCCTTCTCATCTATATCATTGTCACTACAGGCTTCTACTTCAATAATTTGTTTCTGAATTTCCAAGTTCACCAAAAAAGATTCACAGAGTTATTTCTCAGAGAGATACAAAAGACTGAATCCTTTCATTTCCTACTCAAAGAACAACAAAAAAATCATTTCTTAAATGGTATTTCAGAATAAAAATTATTAAGTACTATAAAATGATGACTTGCTGAAACACTGAAAGGGAAGCTGATTACCTGCTTGGGGAAAGGCTGGAGTGATCTCACTTGGGATACCAGTCAGTATCTTGGGGCCCTTTTTTCCTGAAGAACTATGATCCAAGGGGTAAAACAACAGTTGCCTTTTAGGACTAGACACCTGGAACCTTTATCAGCTTTATGCAGGCTCTGGAACACTGCTGAAAAGGGTCCTTCCTGACAGTATAGCCAGCTAAGTTTCATCGTCACTGCCACAAATTCATTAATAGATGACAACTTTACTGTTCCACAATATTGCTAAGATTTCATAACAATTTCCAAAGTTCATTTCATAATGTAGTGAACTCTCTTGTGGGTATCACCATTCGAGAACAAGGAGACCTGAAATACAGAGCCTGGATTCATTTGACCAAATTACAGTTCTCTAGACACCCTCTGTAGTCAATGGAGAGAAATAGGCACATGTGTTTGATTTCCTAACCTAGAAATCTAAAACAGGTCATATGAACTGTATTCAGAAAGTAGAAATTTTTCTCTTTGGTCTATAAAGAGGGTTCAAAGCAAGTAGTTCAGAGACAGATATCTTTATGGTAGCTGAGGTAAGCGAGATGACTCCCCAAAGTGGAGGTTAAGTAATTTGGTTTAGGTTTGAGAGAAACGCTGGCTTTCAGTCTTGCAAGAACATCCTTACCTGAACACATATATTCTCACTGCAGAAGGCAACTGAGGACTCTGTGAATAACAGAAATGCATTGCAAAGTAAGAAGGAAGCACAGACCTGGTGTTACTGTCACATCATTTCCATTGACCACAGGTCTTTCTTCCTCTTCTTCCTCCGGTGGTTCAATACCCGTCTTCTCCATATTGCTCACAGACTTATTCCTTTTGCGTTTGCCTTCAGCCCCGGGAGTGGCACCTGGGAGGATCTGATCTGTTACATTTAACAGCAATGGAGCTGGTTCTGCTGGAGGCTTCGGAGTGCCGTAATAGTTGTCTGGAAAGAAAAGGAGTAACACATGAATTTGCAGAAATACATCTGTTGCTTCTTCTTCTTTTGTCTTAGATTAATGGGATTATGTAAGGTAGGATCTGATTCATCAAGTAATATATAGATTAGTTCAAAATGTTTTCTGCCAAGTTAAATATTCGTGTTTCATGAAATGGTAAATAATTTTCTTGGTTGTAGCACTAGTGATCAAATCATGCACACAAGTATACACCATATGAACACCTCCTGAAACTTTAACAGGGTAAGTTAACATTCCTCTCATCCAAATACATGAGAAATAGGCAGCATAATGGAGCTGTTTTCTTATTTCAAACTCTTAGTTAGGACAAATTAGTTTTGTAGTATTTATGCCACAATACCAGAGTTTCTGAAGGATCAAAAGGACCATAAAAGTATTGGCTTTTCACTATGTTATGTCATTTTCACCCCCCACCAAATTCTCTCACCTGCTTAGAAAGTAAATAAATCATTCAAAGATTCAGAGATTTGCAGTTTTCAGTAATCCTTGCACTATCTATCTCATTTTTCATATTTGTCAAATTTTTGCTATTCATGAGCAAAGCTCCAGATTTGTAATAGTTAATGCTAATATATTTTCAAAGAAAGTTGAAACCTTATGCTTTAGGGCTTAAAATTATCTCAAAAGACTAAGAAATTCTGAGAAGATTTAAGGTAGCTGACAGATTACCCATTATTTGTCTCTCATGAAATTTCTGGCAACTTCTTCTGAATCATCTACTTTCTTTCAGAAGGATTATTAGATTAGATGGACCATGATCTGATCTTTTCTATTGATATCTCTACGTATGCATTTCTAGCACATCTGGTCTCAGAACTGGTTTCTTACTGATACCTCAAATTTGTCCTAGAAATATGTTTAAAATAAAATATTTAAATAATCAAATAAAATATAAAAAATAGTAGCAAGTCCTCTCTAGAAGCAAACATAAAATTATCTTTTTTTCATCTGAAAGTTGCATTGAAGGGCAGTGGACATGATGCCTTACATGTAGATTTTTAGCAGTTAGCATGGGAAACTAAAAATACTGTTCAGCTCTGAGAAACTTTCCAAAGAAAGCACCTATGTAAGGACATTAAGTTGCTGAAGATATTTGTAGTATGACCATTTTTTAATTTTTGTCCCAAAATTTAGGGCTTCTGCACAATCAAATAATAGCAGCAACTTGCAAAAATTATTTTAACCACATACGAGTGTGACACAGATAAAGAAATATGTTATATCCGCACAGTAAACCATCAAAAAATACATTTTGCAGGCAGGGTAAAAATTATTTTTGGTACTAGTATTACTGTGTGTTTCCAATGAATTACAATGTTCAGCCACACGACCACCTCAGTACAGGCAAGTAATTGAGCAGTCTTGCAACTACTGAATACTCTATGAATTTTTCACAATGGTTTAGCAAAACGATATTCATAACAGATGTTTCTGTAATTGTAATACACTAGAAAAATTTACTGTGTTAAATGGCCCTCATACTCACTCTGGGCTTAGGGATGACAGAATGAAAAACTGACTCACTGAAGATTTTCTGTTGATTTTATGAGACGGTAGCAGGTCTAACACAAACCTCCGATGCCAGTAGGGCAATGAGTTGTGCCTATGTATGGCTGCTTGGGACCTGCCCTCCCACCATCTGCAGGAGGTCTCTCTGACTCCCAGGGTTAAAGCAGGGGAGCAGGATTTGGGCTCTAAGGGGGGAAGAGAAATCTACATTGGTCCACTCACAAAACTGTACTTCCAAAATATGTCAAAATCAGATCTGGTCACAGTCAAACTTCTAAGCTCTGACAGTGCAGGGTATTTTGAGAGTACCTGAAAAGCAATGGTCCTGAAGGCATTGTCAGTTGGAAGTCTACTTTTGTATTTCCTTAAGAGCATGTTACCTTTATTGGTGAGATTTCATGTCTAAAATATTACATATTTTGAAAAAAAGGATTCCTCAATTTAAAACATTCCTCCCTGACCTAAGCCATTTTCCCAGTCTCAAAGTTAATCAGTGCCACAGATGCCGTAAACTTCACCAAACGTGTGAAGTATGCACCGATTTCCACCGATTTCATATATATCAGCACACAAATCCCAGGGTTATAGGACCAGTGCGATACAAACCCGTGAAACTAAAAGTGCAGTACCTTGGCTTTTTTCCTTTGTTCTTCGTTTTGCCATTGTCATACAAAATCGAGTGCAGTAGTAATTAGCAGTAATGCTAATATCCTGAATAGTAGATAAGATCTTTTAAATGAAGGACACGCTCATTCTGTTTTTGGATATTAAACACTTTTTCACTTTGACTGACTGTATGCATTAGTGGGAGACAGAGACAAAAGTCATAAAAAAAAATCTATGAATATCACTTATACAAAAATATAAGAAACAAAAATGCACATTTAAGATCAGGAGCCAGAGAGGATTTCACTCTTTCAGTTTCAAGCTGAAAATGCAATATAATTTCCAACTTCTGTCCTCTAACATAACACATTATGCGCTTTGTGATTCCAGTAACCATTGATTTAAAAGTGAGTTTTGCATTATTAGTTGCTATCTATCTATCTATTGATCCTTAATTCAAATATGTGCATAAGCAGTGCAAATAAAATTAAGAAATTGGTCTGCAGATACTGACATAATCAGTGCATCACAAAATTGATAAAAACAATCCATACAGTTCCAAAGGAAAAAATATATAGGATAAGAGACCCAGCCATTTCAATGAAGGAGTAACGCTCCATTAAAGAATAATTAGAATCAATGGAAACTGTATCGTCTATCAAAAAGTTTCTCAATGTCTTGAAATCCCTTGCCTAAGCCTTAGAGCATTAGAACTAATTGGAGACTCTCTTGTAAAGCCTCCACAATTGTCATATCGAGGCATAATGTAGAAACTAAATGTTTATACACCATAACTTTTGTTGCAATGATGCTTGGAAAATCTGCAATAAAACCCGTTCTTTTTCATCTTGGCTGAGCAAAGGACAGGGCTGGTTCAAGATGTTGCTGTTGAAACACTAATCATAAGGTACTGAAATTCAGCTTCCTGTAGGTAAAAAAAGCACACCAAATAAATAATTTCAATAGTTTTTAATGTAAAAAAAAAGGAATAAATAAAAAAAAAGAAATATTCCTAAAAGAAAACATAAAGCCCATGCTCACTGGCAGTCAAAAACCCTAGCAGTTAGGAGCTTTAAAAAAATGAATAGAGCACAAAACAGAAAACACCTTTACAGCACTATACAAAGCCACATAGTACCCTCCCTTTTGTATACTGCCTGCTGTTCTAGTACTTGCCTCTCAAAAATTACATGGGGGAACTAAAGAAGGGCAATTAAAGCTTGGAACTGCTTAAATTGATTTGGAGTTTTCAGCTTGGAAATGGGACAACTGAAGGGGGATATGGCAGATATGTATAAAATCAGGAGAACCCTGGGAAAATGCCTAGAAAATAAATGAATGGATGCTTGGCTTCTCACTACATGAGAACAAGAGGATGCCCAATGAAATTAGCACGTTTAAAACAAGCAAGAGAAGTGGGGTTTTTTTTCACGCAGCATAAGTAGCATTCTCTGTCAAATGCTGCCAGTATCATAAATACAGTCAAAAAGCAATTATACAAAGTCACAGAAGTAAAAAAATGTGAAAGCCTATTCAATGTAAAGGTAAAAATTCTGAGTCCAGAGTTCCGTACAGTACAGATTGGTGGAATGTATGCCTTCCCTGTTCTTACAGTTTTTGCCTTAACATCTACCAAGAGGCAGTAGTAGAGATAGAGTATGGGGCTACAGTTTCCCTTGGTTTGACTCAGTGCAGCCACTCTTACTCAGGTGCCTCCTCGTTGTACTTAAAAAATGTGTGCATACTCCTCTGCCACCCCAGCACAAAGTCAAGAGGTCAGTTTAAGCCAGCAGAGCTTAAGCTAAGCTGACTAAAAAAAAACCTTCACGCAGGCAGGCAGTGCAGACCAAGTATTTAATTGCAGAAAACCCACCACTGCTTAATCCATCTTGCTGCTGTGCCTGATTGCCGCAGTGCTCTCAGTCTCTTTCCAAGCGCAGCCAAACACCAAAGATGGTCTAACCCAACCAGTTTGACTCTGCTGCTGAAATGGATTGGAAGCCATAGCACAGTTACAATTACCAAGTATTCCTTGCCACCCCTAAGCTGTATGAAAAGGTCTACCTGATTCTGCAAAGAGGGAGTCAGAGAAAATTACTGGGGAGGTTAGCCCTGATGACAGAGAGCAGATCAGGAAGTCAGGAAGTCAGAAAAAGGAGAAAATGTAGCGGACAAAGCAGCTATTTTTTTTCTTAACTTGAGCTCACCTATGTCAGGAAGCAGTAAGACTTATTTTATCAATGAAGTGTTTGATGATGAAGCAATAGATCCTAACTCGCTTCCTGAGAAACAGTAAGCCCTTATGGAAGAAAAAAAGACAAAGCTTCATCATCAAACACTTAATCAATAAAATAAGTCTTACAAGACTCAGATCTGGTGACGGTCACTATACAGATATGCTCGACACCCCAGTGATCCCCATTACTGGAAGCAGTTATAAATGTATGTCCCACAATGCTGTGCTCCACTTCGCACTGCATTGCAGGGGCTGGCCTCACCCAGAACCTTCATCGTCAGCACCCCTAGCCCCTCTCCCTTCCTGCGAGGAAAGAGCCCAAATTGCAGCATAGAGCAGACACCTCCACTTCCCATCCTTCCTCACAAGGAAGGGAGAGGAAGGGGTTTTTGCCAGGTCTGCATCCCTGGCTGTGGAGGAGGGTGTAGTCCCTTAGCTCCTGGCACCAGCCAGCTTGAACCATCAGATTGTGGAGGAAGGAGATTATTGCTGGGAGAGTCCTTGGCTCCTGAAACTCCACTGATCTCACCTAAGAAACAAAAAAATGTCTAGTTTAAAAAGGTAAGTATTATGAAAAGTTGAAAGCGGTGCTGAGGAATTAGGAAATTATAGTAA